TCCGCAAGCTCAAAACACTCCGACCGGGAAGCAGTGCAGGGCGTAAGGTTTGAGCGTCACACGTCTTGGCAACGAAGGCTCTTTACAGTGTTCTGCACAGTGACGATGAGAGGGTATCCCTTCAGCTTATTCTTCTATCGACAGCGGCACTACGGGGGCAGTGTGAGTGCCATCGTCAGTGGTGGGAGTGCTAGTTGAGTGTAGTCATTATAAGAGTAGTGAGCACGAGGGAGCAGTGGGAACACCAATGGTCAGATGAAATGAGAGACCCGGTGAAGAGCAAACTCGAGTTGTATCCATTGGGTGTGTGGTGGGAACCCGTCTAGGCAACAAAGGCTCTTTACAGTGTGATTGGACAGTGATGATGGGAGGGTAACCCTACATCTTTTCGTTCTTGCCCAGCTCCTGGTCTTTGAGCTTATAGGTAGTTTTAGTTCCTAAATCCTGGTGGAAAGTAGTAGTAGGTTACTTGGACTGAATTTGAGAATTGATCTGTATCTAAGAATTTGGCATGCCTTGGAAATAATTTTAGGGTTGAATTGTATAATTTTCCTACATTGCCTTGTGCATTTTCGAGATTTGCGGTTTATATCTCGTAGTACTTGGCCAATAGTGTTTAGATCTTAGAAACATGCCGGTCTTTTCCTGAGTAGCAAGGATATTATACTGCCACTATAGATTTGCTTTACAATTTTTCTTTCTGGAGACTCCTTTAAGAAGTTTAAGGGACACTGGACCCGGTTTCCAGGAGCCTAAGCTGAGTATTAGCCTCAGCAAGCTTGTACCGGGTTGATATGTAGGGGTGTGTTCCCAGGCCCCGGTGGTCTCATTTGGAATGAAAAGCCCTATGTTTCTCAAAAAAAAAAAAAAAAAAAAAAAAAAAAAAAAAGGAGTGGTATATGTGGGTTGCTGGGGTTTTTAGTTAAATTTTGGTTTGTTTGGTGTTATTGGCCTGTGGCTCTCCTCTTTTTCAGGGCCTAGGATTTCAGGACAGCGGTCATGTGTTGGCCATTTCTGTTCCTTGATATTTCTTGGCCTCTGCCTTAGGACCTTGCCACACCACTGTCGAAATGTGAAAAAGACAAAAATGTGGGGGGCGCATCTGGCCATGTTCTAGCGGGAAGTTCATTCTCATTTTGCAGATTTCGAGAGTGGTGTGGCCATGCCTTTATGTTTAGTTTGAATGGAATTTGGCAAGCATCAAAACAAAAAACAAAAAAAAAATTGGCCAGCATCTGGCTCGTAAGCTAAACTGGCTGATGCGCTCGTAAGTTAAACTAGCTGATGCGCTCGTAAGCTAAACTGGCTGAAACTGCCAGGATAACTCCGGGTCGAATTGTGAGGTCCCCGGCCTCAACTTTACCTAGTTAATGTGATTGAATTGTGCAAAAAAAAAAGAGAAAACTGGCTGATGCTGCCAGGATAACTCCGGGTTGAATTGTGAGGTTCCCGGCCTCCATTGGAACTGTTGCAACAATTAAGGAAAAAAAAAAAAAAAGATTTGCGAGAAGAATTGAGAAGAATATAGCGTAGTTTTAACAACTTGGGATAATTTGCAAAATACCCCTATAACTTGAGTTATATGCCAAAATGCCCCTAAAAGATGTGGTTAGAGCAGAATACCCCTATGACAAAAAAAGTGTTTTGTGAAATGCCCCTGGCGTCGGTTGGACCCGCCATCTTTTCAAAATGCCCCTACCGGGTACTGTCCATCTTTGCAAAATGTCCTGGTACCTGCCAACTTTTCCCAGGCCCTGATTATTTCGTTTTACCCCTACCGGGCCAGGTCATCTTTGCATTTTGCCCCCTGGCGTTGGAGGCCTACAACTGCCCTTTCGAGGCCCCAGGAAGGCACTACCGGCCCGGGCCAAGGTCATCTTTGCCACATTCACGTTTCTGCTGCCATTGGCCCGGTATTGTGAAGCCCATGAATGGGCAGTCAGTTTCTTCTTCTCCCACCCAATTCATCCCCCATTCATGGGCAGGGTGTAGAAACAAGTCTGGAGTTAAGGGGTTCCTAAACTTCTATGATGAGTTCGACGTGCATGAAACAGCAGCGACCAGTGCTATGATGAAAAGGACGTCCATGACACACACAGCAGACAGCACACACAGCACACACAGCACACACAGCACACACAGTACACACAGCACACACAGCCAGGGAAGGTTGTTGCAGACCAGATCTTGCAACAACTGAGCACCCTTTGGATCAAACCCTGTCATCGCCTGCCCATAGAAAGGGAACATCGGATGGGCGAACCCAAGAAAACTGTTCAATGCAGCACTGTGATGGTCTGCCTGAGATCCGGCCAGCATGTGTGCGTTTTCATGTGACAGCAACCATTGTGGTTATGTACGACACCCTGAGATCAGTGAGATGGCATGACATTGTCCTATTTGTAGACACAGGCTGGAGCGACAATGCCTACATGATTGCACTCGGTGTGCCTCTGTGCTCCTGGCATGTAGGAGCCACATAGCCTGTCATATCAGCGTTTGCTATCCTGTTCGATGCCACAGTCCACACCCGAAGCAGTCCTGTCCAGTCTGTTGCGGTGGCCACTAACCATAGGCAATGCCTGTTCTTGACATACAAGGGGTGCCTCAAAGAAAGCCGGAGTATAGACAGTGAAGAAAAGACTCTGCAAGGCAAATGCTATGTAACGGATTTATTGTGGTGCGCGTAGCTATAGAAGTAGCACTGTTACAATGTTGGCTTTCGGGCCTGTGCTTTATTGTCTTTTTTTTTCCCCTTTTTAAAGCATTTGCATGATTTGATACTCTCTCTCTCTCTCTCTCTCTCTCTCTCTCTCTCTCTCTCTCTCTCTCTCTCTCT